GCTTACGTCCCTGTATTTAGGTGATTATGTTTTTATACCCTTCATCACACTGTGGTACAGGGTATTATGTGTTTGTGCATATGTTTGTAACAGGCAAAATTAATCGAGATAGGCCCATGGTTCCTTTTGAGAATATGAATATAATCACTTTCTGAGTCGATTTATGCATGTCCGTCCGTCTGTCCACGTTAAATTGTAAACAAAGTACAGATCGCATTAATGATCCAACTTGGATGAAATTTGGCGCAGCTCATTGAAATTGGGAAAAACCGGTTCAGATTTATAAATAGCTCCCATATATATTCCGATTTAATGTAAATTGGGTATCAAAGTCCTTACATATCGTTCGATTTGCACGAAATTTGGTATACCGTACTGAATTGAGCCTAGAATGGTGTCAGCCATTTGTGCTAAATTTTGAAGGAATCGGTTCAAATTTAGATGTAGCTCCTATATATAGTTTCGTCCGATTTTAAGTATATATATATATATTAGTAAATCGTGCACCAGGCTACTCATGTTTATTCAATCGGACACCCGGATTGATATATGCTTTAAAGTAGCTTACATAATTTTGTCCCATTGTAAAAATCAACTCTATATCTGACCAAATGATAAATTTAGTACAGGTTGCAGAATGACATGTTTATGGATCCAATTTCATTTTACTGGTCCTTCAAAAATGTGATGTCTGTTAGGATTCATCTGTTGAATATACCCAAAGTGGTGAAGGGTATCAAAATTACCTAAAATCGGGCGAAAATATATGGGCAATATTGCCAATTTTTTAACATAGCTGAAGCGGAGGTTCGCCCCTTTATAACTCGGGAACTACTTAAGTATATGAAAAAAAGTGAATAGTTTTGGGTTAACGACAGATCGTTGCAAACTGTTCATGATATTGACCTCCAAACTTTTTTTTGGTGGAAGGTGTGTCTACTTTAATGTAAAAAAATGTGTAAAAACAGGTTGAGGCGAACCAGTTTTTTTATGTTCTCTATCGATTTGTGATTATTCCACTCATTTCACGATCTTCGTGTTAAAGTAAAACTAGAAGCCAACAAAATGGGGACTACGCCCCTTATGTATCATTTTTTCAAAATGTTAACTGCATCTACCTTTAAATGATGCTGACATTTTGAAGCTCGATTTTTAATGTTTTTTTCAATTTTACTTCTAGCTTTAATGCGCAAACAGGAATTTCTAAAAATCGATTATAAGATTATTGTAGTCGCGAATCTGCGTAATTTGATATGTATTTTGTGTATGTAGTATGCACAGCTTCAGAGTAATACTCATCAGAAGGTGCGAATTTTTTAGATCTGTCAACCGAATGATATGGGTACCCGCGATCGATAAGGTTTTTTACATTTCGGATGATATAAAATCTTCTTCGTGAAAATCCATCTACTGGAACGGCGGGAACTGGCCTTCCAAAAACACGAAATTTGGCAAAATTTTTTTTTGAAAATATCGCGGATTTATTTGCGTTTTCTGTATCATTTCTGCTTCAATAAATGACCTCATACGGATTTTGATCTTTTTCGAAAAGAGAACTTTAAAAACTTCAGCCGAAAGAGAGATGTACGCAATTTATCTCAAAAATAGATTGTGCTGACACATCCATGGTTCTTAATGGACCACATTGAAATCGGTATAGATCGATGTATTTTTTTAGGGTGCACACCGAAATCGGATGCGCGTTAATGGCATATGGAGTTTTCGGAAATTATTCGCGTTTTACGATTTTTTGGGTACTTCAATGTAACGTGCGGCACATCTTAGCCGTCAAAAAAAATTTCGCAAAATATATATGGATTGGAAGATAAACTTCAGTACTTCCTGAAAACCGCATGCGCATCAAATGATTTTGAGAATTACGCGATTTAGACGCAATTTAACTCAAAAATGGTGTAAGTTGGCACATCCATGGTTCTTAATGGACCACATTGAAATTGGTATAGATCGATGTATTTTTTTAGGGTGCACACCGAAATCGGATGCGCGTTAATGGCATATGGAGTTTTCGGAAATTATTCGCGTTTTACGATTTTTTGGGTACTTCAATGCAACTTGTGGCACATCTTAGCCGTCAAATGAAATTTCGCAAAATATATATATATTTTGCAAGGCGTATACTTATACACAAAAAGTGATTATTATTATATATGTCAATTTTTCGGCGAAATTCGGGTAAAATAGCAGAATAACTCCAACATTTTTTTCAGAAATTTCTTGTATAAAATTAAAAAAATAAATATGATGACATATTTTTTCGAACCAAAAACAAATATTTTTCCTCAATATCTTGTTTTGTGGTCGCTGTGATTTACAAACCGCTACACAGGCTTGTGTGATTTTGATATCATTTGATTCATCATGGTGTTTAGATTATGTAGATATTTTTAAATTAATTTTTAGGTGTGTGTATGTCATTAATATAATGAAAATATTTACGTAATCTCCTATATTTTCATTATTTTTCTCATATTTCGCGAAGATGTACAACTTTTTCGCGATTATTATAATATATTCTTATTTTACGGAAGAAGATATATATCAACGTTTTTGGTCAATATAATAAACGGCGTAATTTTAAGATTTTTTTCTTATGCGATAACTTTTGCGCGCATCAACCAAAAATTTGATAGCGAACGGTTTCGGAGTCAGGACATTTTTCTCTATATGTGTACCAAAAATCATTGATGTGCCACAAAAACAAAAAAGCTGATTTTTTGAAAATGGAATATTAAAAAATTGGCAATATTGCACTACTCATGTTTATCCAATCAGACACCCGGATTGATATTTGCTTTAAAGTAGCTTACATAATGTTGTCCCATTGTAAAAATCAACTCTATATCTGACCAAATGAGAAATTTAGTATAGGTTGCAGAATAACATGTTTATGGATTCAATTTCATTTTACTGGTCCTTCAAAAATGTGATGTCTGTTAGGATTAATCTGTTGAATATACCCAAAGCGGTGAAGGGTATCATATAGTCGGCCCCGTCCGACTTTACGACTTTACTACTAAATTAATTATGATCTAGCCTCCATATAATCGTACCTCCCGTTTTAAGATAATTTTTGTATATTAGCAATTTTTTACAATTTTGCATGGATAGATCCACGTTATCTGGTAATCGCCCTATAAAGGTACCCCATTCTGAGTATTTACCCAAATATTGGGTATAAACTCATTGACTGGTGAACCACTTGACGCATGCTACCAAAACGAATATTGGTATGGAAAATGGGGTATCTGGATCCATGTTTTGGTACAGCCCCCATATAACCGTACCTCCCGATTTAAGATAATTTTTACTTATTAGGCATTTTTGGACCCAGTGTCCCCATTTTCCATACCAGTATTAATTTTGACATTAAAAACATGTGAACCAAATGTTGGCAGCCTGCGTTTGGATAAATACTTAAAATAGGAATACCTTTGTATGGGGGCTGCCAGAAATGGTGGACCTACGTCAATAAATGTTTGCTTATATATTTGGTACCCCTAGAGAACACTCTGTGTCAAATTACAGCCAATTTGACTTTAAAATGTATGTAATAGGCAAAAAAGTACCTAAAATCGGGAGATACGGTTATATGGGGGCTATATCAAAACTTGTAACCAGAGACCTAATTTTCCATACCAATATTCGTTTTGGTAGCATGCATCAAGTGGTTCGGCAGATAATGGTTTTATACCCAATTTACCCACGTATTTAAAGTATTGTAAAACAATCCATTTTAAATCGATTTTATGAAAAACCCAGTAAGGAAAGTAGTAAAGTCGGGCGGGGCCGACTATATGATACCCTTCACTACTTTGGGTATATTCAACAGATGAATGCTAACAGACGTCGAATTCTGCAACCTATACTAAATGTTTCATTTGTTCAGATATAGGGTTGCTTCTTACAATGGGACAAAATTACCTAAAAAATCAAAATCTGAACCGAATTCAATGAGAATGGTAGAGGTTAACTTATATATAGCTATATCTAAATTTGAACCGATTTTCAGAATACTTAACACACATAATTCTGGGCCCTATTCATTACGTTGTGTCAAATTTCGTGCAAATCGAAAGATATATAGGGACTTTGGTGCCCCATTTACCTTAAATCGGACGAAAATATATATGGGAGCTTTATCTAAATCTTAACCGATTTTTCCCAATATCAATAGGGTTCGTCCTTGGGCCAATTAAGTGACCTGTTCCAAATTTCATCCAAATCGGATCATAAATGCGACCTGTACTTTGTTAACAAAAATACATGGACGGACGGACAGACGGACATGCATAAATCGACTCAGAAAGTGATTCTATGCATATTCTCAAAAGGAACCATGGGTCCAGCTCGACTATTTTTGCCTGTTACAAACAAATGCACAAAGACGTAATTCCCTGTACCACAGTGTGGTATAAAAAAACCCGGAAATAGAGTTAAGATATTATATTAGCGATTCAATATAAATTATCTAAACTAACAAATTATCAATATTGGTCCACCTACACCCCAAAGATCGGTAATTTGAGGAGCTTGAGTACGTACTACCGAAGATTGTCGATAACTGCAAATTTATATTTTCATAAAATGTGAGTAACATAAATTTGTCTGTATGGTAACTACCCTACTACTGATCTACAATCCGAGTCGATCCGAGTATCAATCGGCCAATGTCTGTCACCTATGTCCATTGTGTAAAAGCAATAGGGCTGCTATATCAGCAACAAGACATGTTTGGACATATATAGCAAATGTCTGCTTCCAGAAATCCATATACACATGTCTTTCTGGAATAATTAACTTTCGAACAATGGGTGGTGGATATTTAGGGTTTTCACATGATGTATTTCGGACCAACTGAATATACCTTACTTCTTCCTTTGTGATACCATTGTGAAAAATGTCAGAATATTTATTAGTATTATTACACAATTGAATCAATTAAATTTTTATTAATTTTTTTTATATTTGCTATACGAAAAATGTCTAAATTGAAAAGCAAAAAACCCCGTTTAGATATAAAACAAACATCTAAGGAGCAAAAACAAGGAAGAAATTTACTCGATCTACCGCCTGAAATATTAGAGAAAATTATTGGATGTGTTAATATATGGCATCACAATCGCATACGTGAGACATCAAAGCGTTTTCGAGAAATTGATGATCTCTTTGTGAGGCATGAATTTGAAAAATCATTAAACAAGGAAATTGTTGCGGATCCCAACAGTTACGCAAGTGCCGTTTTAAGGGTTTGAATGCAATTAATTTTTTGATTGTATGTATTTCTAGTTGATTCTATGTTTTTTTTTTCTATTATATTTTAGAGTATACGGCAAGCAGCCGAAGTGTATTTGCATTCGGAATTTGATTCGATTTTTTGTGGATGCATTTTACCCATGCTGCGGAACTCATACAAAAATCCATTTTGTCCCCAGGTTAATCTTGTTAGTAAATTCTTAGTGCATTTCTATAATTTGGTTGAGGAGAAAATTGGTGACCCAATGTCTCAATACTCTAGGCTTTTGTATTCTTTAACGTTGATGAGATTTTTCAAGGTAAGTTACAACACTCATGGGGACATTTTTGTTGTTTCTTTAGGACTAACAATAACAATTTTGGTCATTTCAACACTAAGGCTTTTGATAGATGTACCATTATATCATCAACTACGTTACCATTTCACTGGCGAGTTGTTATCGAATTAGAAGGTCCCTGGCTGGGTATGTTGTGGAATTCAAAGCGTAGAACTCCAGAAGAATTTTGCCGAAGCCATCTGTTAGTTATACTGACCGAAATGCTAATAACTAACATAACTGGTAAAGCATTCAAGTAAGTAGCAATGGAAATAATTGGCTTGTGAACATGATTCGTTATTATTCGCAAAGGAAAATATGAGTTTTGCAATGAAAAAACTAGTAAGGAAAGCAGTAAAGTCGGACTGGGCCGACTATATGATACCCTTCACCACTTTGGGTATATTGTACATATGTATCCCCTCCAAGGAACATACGCAAGTCTTTCTGCAACCTATGATAAATTTAATTTCATAGCAAAATTAATACACGCTATTCGGTCGCCGCACTGTTAAAATTTTAATTTCATTCAGACATTCATTCGAAATACATATGGAAGCTATGACAGCATCCACTTCAATTTCAACAAAACGCAATAACCTTATTCAAGTCTCAACTTGATACGTTTTGCAAAAAATCGTGTTAATCGGACAAACATTAGAAGGTTGGTGCACAATTTATGTAAAATCGGACGAATATATATGTATATGTGGGAGCTATATCGAAACCAGAACCAATTTTTCCGAAACATAGCACACATCATTCCAGACTTAATTCAGTGCGCTGTGCCAAATTTCATGCAAATCGAACGATATATAGGGACTTTGGTGCACCATTTACCTTAAATCGGACGAAACTATATATGGGAGCTATATCTAAATCTGAACCGATTTTCTCTAAACATCATTCTGCACCTAATTCATTACTCTATGCCAAATTTCGTGCAAATCGAATGATATATAGGGACTTTGGTGCACCATTTACCTTAAATCACGAAACTATATATGGGAGCTATATCTAAATATGAACCGATTTTCTGCACACATCGTTCTGCACCTAATTCAGTACACTATTCCAAATTTCATGCGAATCGAAAGATATAGAGGGACTTTGGTGCCCCATTTACCTTAAATCGGACGAAAATATATATGGGAGCTATATCTAAATCTGAACCGATTTTTCCCAATTTCAATAGGGTTCGTCCCTAGGCCAAATAAGTGACTTGTGCCAAATTTCTATATATGGGAGCTATATCTAAATCTGAACCGATTTTCTCTAAACATCATTCTGCACCTAATTCATTACTCTATGCCAAATTTCGTGCAAATCGAATGATATATAGGGACTTTGGTGCACCATTTACCTTAAATCGGACGAAACTATATATGGGAGCTATATCTAAATATGAACCGATTTTCTCGAAACTTGGCACACATCGTTCTGCACCTAATTCAGTACACTATTCCAAATTTCATGCGAATCGAAAGATATAGAGGGACTTTGGTGCCCCATTTACCTTAAATCGGACGAAAATATATATGGGAGCTATATCTAAATCTGAACCGATTTTTCCCAATTTCAATAGGGTTCGTCCCTAGGCCAAATAAGTGACTTGTGCCAAATTTCATCCAAATCGGATCATAAATGCGACCTGTACTTTGTTTACAATTTAACATCTACAGACGGACGGACATGGATAAATCGACTCAGAAAGTGATTCTATGCATATTCTCAAAAGAAACCATGTGTCTATCTCGTTTCCTTTCGCCTGTTACAAACATATGCACAAAGACATAATACCCTGTACCACAGTGTGGTGAAGGGTATAACTATAAAGGTAAAATAGTATCATGGCAAGGTTATATCTTTTCTGTAACGAACATATTTTTATTGGTTTATCTTTGGTTTTACTAGTTTATTGGTTTATCGTCCGAACTTTTTATACCCTCCACCATGAGGATGACATTCGAAATATGTAAAACCAGTAAGGAAAATTCAAAAGTCGGACGGGGCCGACTATATGATACCCTTCACCACTTTGGATACATACAAGAGATGTTAATATCTACAAAATCGGGCGAAATAAAATATGCTATCTAGAAAGATATTTGAACTAACTGAAAAAACTTCATACACATACCATTCTGAAATCAATAAAAAATTGCACGTCAAACGGGCAGACTTGGATTTTTTGGTGTATAATTTGTATGAAAGGAAAAAAATATATATATGGGATCTATATATCAACATATGAACCTAATTGAGCAACCATTGCATACACCATTTGTTTTTTGTTATCACCCTATATTCAATTTAATACTCTCTGCCAATTTTCGTGTAAATCGAACAAACATAGGCCCTACATAACATCGAAATAAAATATATATAAAACCCATATCAAAATCTTAACCGATTTCAACAAACCCTATTACACATAATTTTTTACAATTGCATTCGCTATGCAAAATTTTATATGGGAGCTATATCTAAATCTGAACCGATTTCAACAAAACTTCGTAGACATCATTCTGGACATAATTCGGCACTTTGTCCAAAATTTTGTCTCAATCGAACAAATATTGGGAGTTTGGTGCACCATTTACATAAAATCGGACGAATCTAATATGGGAGCTATATCTAAATCTTTACCGATTTTCTCCAATTTTAATATGGTTCGTCCTTGGGCCAAATAAGTGAACTGTGCCAAATTTCATCCAAATCGGATCATAAATGCGACCTGTACACTGTTCACAAAAATACATGGACGGGCGGACATACGGATATATGTAAATCAACTCAGGAAGTAATTCTATGCATATTCTCAAAAGGAACCATGGGTCTATTTCGATTCCTTTTGCCTGTTACAAACATATGCACAAAGACATAATACCATGTACCACAGTGTGGTATTGAAATTACTTTTAGTACAGAGGTGTGGGGTACCGTTATATGGGGCTACCCTGAAACTTGGGGTCAATATTAATAATTTTTAGTACGATAATATGCCATGAACCCAAAGTATCAAATTACAGCAAATTTGCCTGAAAAATGTCTGTGCAAAATTTCAGAGCTCTATTGACATAGAATTTTTGTCACATTGTGGGGGAGGCACACGATGGGAATGTAAATCATTTTTGTGTGAGCTTAAAGAAGGAACGAGGCGATCGGCCACATCTTGGGAGTCGACCTAAGCTAGGTAAAAATATTACGATGTGCAAAGTTTCGATAGAATTTAGATATTCTACTCGCTTCATATAAGATTAACCATTTTGCGGGGGAGGTACTAGTGGGAATGGACCAATTTTCCCATGATATTAGCAAATTAATTTTCAGGAGGTACCAGAGGATTGAACAGATATTCCCCATCTTGTAACAGGATTTAAATTAATAAAATCCGATAAGTTCTATCATCAAACATGGTTGAATTATTAGATTGTACAAAGTTTGGTTTAAATCGGATGCTCTGGTTGCACAATATTATAAAATTTATTTTCAGCACAATTTTGAAAATTTTGCGGGGGAGATACTAGTGGGAATGGACCACTTTTCCCATGATATTAGCAAATTAATTTTCAGGAGGTAACAGAGGATTGGAGATATTCCCCATCTTGTAACTTGATTTAAATTAATAAAATCTGTTATTGTGCGCACCAGCCAGCCAGAGGGACATTTGTAAATCGACTCCAAAATACATGAAACGGATTTGGTTCAAAAAAAAAAAAAAAAAAAATGGAGCTAAAATCAATCACCTCTATTCCGTATGTCGTCGTCGACACAAAACGACGTCGTAGAGTCGTCATTTGTAAATTGGTATTCCCGATGTCGTTGTCGACATTTGTAGATATCTATTGATACATTTTTGGTATTCGGAAACAAAGTTTGACGAGGACGATGTCGAAGAGTTCTTTGTCATAGTTTTAGTTGACGACTGAATTGTTTGAACATTTGTATACCCTTCACCATAGTATGGAGGGCATATAAATTTTTTCATTCCGTTTGTAACTCATCGAAATATTAATTTCCGACCCTATAAAGTATATATTCTTGATCAGAGTAAAATTCTAAGACGATCTAGCCTTGACCTCCGTCCGTCTGTTGTAATCACACTATCTTCTGAAGGAACAACGGTAAAAATAAAAACAAATTGTTTTCACAACATAGTAGATTTGTTGGCTAAAGATATTCCAGGTCAAACATTATGCATTATGCAGGTCATGTTATTGCATTATATTTCAAAAAAACTCCAAATTGCGAATAAAAATAACTTGGCGGGTAATGTGGACCAGTATGTGTGGATAATGAGGATTAGTAAGTTAAAGGTAGGTTGTGGATTGGTTGTGATAAATTTCAATGATTGCACTCTTGGATAACAATGAATGCGAAAATATATGGGTTCACGTTTTGGAATACCCCCATTTAAGGTGTTTTTTCTCGAATATAATGAAGTTCTGTGGTTTCTTGTTTTCTTTAACAAAAAATATACGTTTAGCTGTAATTACAATCGGTGATTTTTAATTTTTATTAATTTTTAAAGCCGATAATTGTTTTTAAATAAAAATATTCAATGTCGGGTGATGTGGGACCTTTTCATGAGGACGAGTGCGAAACTTGGGCGCATGTAATATGCGAGGAAGTATTCCATTCTCTGAACAATCGATATGCGAAATTACAGGTTCTTCGGTTGGATAATGAAGCAAGAACCTTCAAAATACCACAAATCCTGCTTCATTATCCAACCGAAGCACTTGTAATTTTGCATATCGAGTCAGAGGATGGAATACCTCCTCGCACAAAAAAGTAATTCTATGTACATATATACTAAAAAGTAACTATGGGTCTATCTCGTTTCCTTATGGATGTTGCAAACACATGCACCAAGTTATATTTTCCTGTGCCACATTTCGGTGATGTATACAAACACATTTTTGCACAAAAATAAGTATCAAAATAAACAGTTGACTTCAATTTTAGAGATATGATTTTTTTTGTTTTATTAATGAACAGTCGACATCGTCTCATAAATGTTACAGAATACCAAATCAATGTCGAAGTCGATTTTTTCCGTAGCCATAAATAAAGCTGGACGTATAACAAGTAAGAACAATGTTTATGCCTCAAGCTTCCCAACGACAAACATTTCGATTGATTTATGTACTTTTTTATAAGCTTTATATTATATTTGTAAAATTATTTCATGTCTAACTTAATATATTGTTTCATTAATTCCATAGACGAGTCTGGGAATGTCCCAGCGAACTCTATGTGTTCGGCAATGATACTAGCATTGGAAAACGTATACCACGCACCCTGTTCACCATTACAGTGCACGGCTCGAAGAAGATATGCACTTTATTTCAATCCTTTCTTGGTATTGATGGCCAAGTGTTTCAATGGCCAACAAAATGGCCCAAAGATCAATTTACAGTCAATTTGGATATTGAGTGCAAGGAAGCAACAAAATGGGGATGTTCCAAATCGTTGCATTTGGAGTTTAGTCCATTTGCCAGATTATCACATAGTGAAGAAGATATACAGTGTGGAGACTATAATGAAAATACTATATATTTTGGTGATTTTCCATGATTTTGTGATCTATTAAAAATATAACAAATACGGTATATAACATATTCAATTGTGATTTATTTAAACAGTTTTAAAATGATTTTGTAAAAAAATTAATTACAAATATTTTTGTAAAGATTCACCTAAAATAACCTCCAATTCTTGTACCGATTTTCTAGTATTCTTCTCCACTCGAGGATTTTCGTCTTCAAACAGTTCTGAAATGAATGGTACTGTTTCGGGTAGCAATGGAGTAAAATCTTCGCCCAATTTGCGTGCAATCTCAACGCAGCAATTAAAGGCAAATATACGGACTTCGGGAACAGTCGTACGTGTCTTAAGCAAAACTTGATAATTTAGTTGTTTCCACATAACGTCACTTGACACATCAACAGCAAGTTGAGCTATACATTGTCCGAGCACTGCTTGCAGACTTTCATCTTCCAGAACTAAACGATTTTCCAATTGATCAACAATTGCGGGCATAAGATATTCAAATCGTTGGGCATTTACAAATTCCTTGCTATCATATAAGAAAATATTGTACAGGGTAGCCAGTATGGTCTTTAGTAGTTGAGTTATTAGCGGTTCCTCGTTGCTTGGTATTTCCGTCTTGAGGGCATTACATTCATCTAATAGACGGGCAGCATCTTCGATAAATTCGCTGGCAAAAAGTACAAACAATGACTTCAATGACTCGCCTATTTTTTGTGTGAGTAAGAAATAGGTTAACATGGTCTCCTTCTGAGGCTGGTCATGCTGGAATGCCCAATTGTAAAGTTTGTGGTACAAGGGCCTAAATGAACTTTCCGATAGCTTCAATACCCAAGCAACAAAGGCCTCGACGATTGTAGTTTCAGTTTTGCTAACAACATCTCCATCTACATTAGAATCCTTTAGTAGTAATCGGAATTCTAAAGCCTGCATAAACATGGTGCTTAATTCCGAATGCACTGCCGTCAGGTCTTTATTTTCTGCATGTGCAATGGCCTGATGCAGAAGTTTCATAAGTACGCTTATATCAGCATAATTCTTGGTTGTCATTAAGCGGGCATAGGCCTTGTCACAAGAAGGCACAAGAATACGCAATGGTAAATCAGTTGCTATTTTTGACCAAATTATTGTAATTTTCTGTAGGGTTGTGCTCGATCGTTGATCCTTTTCATTATTCTGCGCTCTAATGCGTGTACCGATTGAACTGAGTGCAGTAATAATATCCACAATATAGGGGCCCAGGAACAATGGTAGAGTTTCAAAAAGTTTTTGCATACCTAAAAATGAGATATATTAGAATAATAATAAATTGAACATGGAAAGACAAAAATCCGAGAAAACTATTTTGTTTTCTTTCACAACTTACCAGTTACAATGGCCACACAAATATTATCTGGTGGCTGTTGACGAACTAATTCCGCGTGATCTTGCAATATTTCAATGAGTTGAGGCATAAATTTGGGTAAATGAGCTATAGAGTGTGCCTTCAAATTGGAAGAGATTTCAATCATCGTCAAAACCACCGTAGCCAGAACAATTTTTGAAATGGCTGTGCGCTGTCGGGTAATTTTCGTGAGTGTTGTCAAAATTTCCTTAAATTCAGGAATATGTTTAATGGCGAACGTCTTCGATAAGAGTTTAATTGCTATTAAAGCTGTCTGTTGCAAAAAGATCAATTCATTTTGATGGGCTGGGTCAACGCTCTCATCACGCACCAAAATACCGTTTATAATTTCCGACAACGGTTGCAGCAGATTATCAAAGTGTTCGGAATCCACATAATCAAAGAAGCCATCTCTTTGCTGTAGTTTACTAATCAAAAGTTCGATGACCTTTTTACGTATGGACAACAGTTGATGGTGCATTAGGCCATTGACGACAACTAAAAACATTTCAGCCGATAGCAGAGATATTGAATTGTCCAAAACATCGTGCAGATGATGAAGTATAACTTTCCAGAATTTTTGCAACGATGCCTCCTCGGCCTTTTCAATGGCTGATGTCACATTGGGTACATAGGAGAGTATGCGTATAATAAGTTTCTGATAGTAGGATTTCATTTCCAAAATTTCTTCATCCGTTAGCTTTGCTATTTTCTTTAGGAACTCGTCAGAAGATGTGATAGCCGAAAGGAATTGCATAATAACGTATTTATAATGCCTTAGCTGTTTGGCCGAGCGAGCATTCACATCAAATAGACTGGCCTCATGATTGTCGGCGTTAGTAAGTGATTTCCTTTCAGATTTTTCTTGCTTTTGCATGGGTAACTCTGCAGTATATTTCATCAGCTGAATGCAGGTTTCCAATATCTCGTCGGGAGCAAAGGTATTACTTAGCTCGAGGACAATTTCAATCCGCTTAGACATTTGATCGGCCGATGCTACTGAAGGTTTTGCCGATTTCTTTTGTAACATTCTTTGTTTTTCATCGTCAATTACATGCGCTTCGAAAACCACGCATAAAAACATCCAAAGGTGATCGACGGATCCCAAGGTCTTTATTAGTTTGGTGTACAACGGCAAACGTCGGTGTTCGGGAACGTCGAGCATTATATCGGAGAAGACTTTGAGCACAGGTATGACAGCGGTTTTGTCCTTTACCAATATGGGCACAATGGATACAATGATATCGTTGATAATGTGGAAACTAAAGGCATCATCATGGCGCACCACCGAAGAACCCATAAATGTAAATATGTCCACTATATTGTGTAGTACCTGTTGAGGAAATAGAGCGGCACAATGGGACAACAAAAGCAAAGCATTGTGATGGGTTTGGGGATTTTGCGAAGCTCGAAGGCACTGTACAATTTGGTCCACACGGAATGTCTTTGGTAGTGCAGTCTGCAAATTAACATTATCCTCTGTTGCCTTTTGGCAGCAATTGAGCAATGCAGACAATACCAATTGTTTGGTATATTCGACGGTTGTTTGCTCCTCCACCGCCAAGCAACAATTGAGCAATTCGAAAAGAGGCGGTATTAAGACGGTACAATTTTCTAGTTTCTTTTTATTTTCCAAAATTTCCATTAACACCACACCCTTTTTCCACTCGAGACCACTGACATGCAACACTGGTGATTGCATCGTTTCACGTTTATTGGCGCCACGACGAGGTGTTGACGACTTGCTACTATCCAAACAAGCCTTGTACATATTATGAATGATTTCATGCAACGGTTCGCAGTTAACGGTACATTTTTTCAACAGTTTATTTGCTGCCAAGAAAATGCTATCGTTCTCAGCGATAGCCAAAGTCTTGATGAGCAATAACAAGAACTGGTTTTTGTATTTCGATGGCATTTTCTCGAAGCTAAATTCGTCTAGAGACTCCAAGAAAACACAGGTAACTGATTTTCAGTCCATCTTCGCTATCGAGGAATACCATACAATTTTCAGCAAAACATCTTCAATGTATGAGGTATTAAAGCGTTCTAGGACTAAGCGGACAATTGAAGCATATGGTTCCTTCAAATGTTGCAATGACTGATCCAATGTAAAGAGCTGCAAAGCCCTTGAGGCCAAAGGCACTACGCTTTTAATAATTTCTGTATCATCACTGATGTGAACTATAATGCGTAGGAGTTTTTCAACAAACACTGCTTGTTCTAAAGACTCGTGTTTGCCAAATATGGCTAAAATGCCTTTCAATATCTTGGAACCCATTGTAATTGTCTGCTTATTTTCACCGCCTTTCAAAAGGCCGTACAAAATCAAGGGATATTGTTCTGAATCCATTGATATCTCTTCCGAACGTTCAAGAACTGATTTCACGAAGAATTCCAATTCCCAATCAACTGTAGAGGTTTCATTCAGTAAAACTTTCAATGTTGCCAGGGCTTCCGAACGCACAACTTGTGATGAACTTAATAAAGCAATGGTAATTTTGAAAATATGTAGAGCTTCTAATTTCAGGTTATTGTTATTTTTCAACAAACTTTGGACAAGTTGGAAAGCTCTCACGCGTAACACCGGATATTCTGCAACAGTTGCATGTTCTTCATACACATAGAAATCAATTAAGAAAGTGAGTTTTTGCAGAGGACTTTTAAAGACCGAATCAAACAATTCCTTCAATATTTTAGACCACTCTGTCTGTTCATTATCCAAACTGAACGATTTATCGGCCACAAATTCAAATACTGTCAGGAAATATTCCAACTCAGAATTTTTCAATCCTTCCCAGGAGCACATAGAGAGTTTTTCCAAATTGGTATGCTTGGTTAGGGCCAACAAGAAATCGCAAAACAATTGCATAGGTATATAATTCAATCGATTCAAAACTTTGTCACCTTGAGAATAATCCAAATGTTTGATGGGAAACTTATTGACGTAGTTTGAAATCTGCTTAAAGATTTGTGAGCT